TTAGAAATGATTTTCTTTAACTTTTCCCGTGCCAGGTCTGTAATTGAAAAAGCAAAACAAAACCGAAGGGGTGTGTGGGGGAAATCCCAAATGAAACCACGTCGTGTCATTCCTGCAGCAAGACCCTTGCTTCTAAAGGCTCTGCTTTCAGGGGCTGTGTTCTTCTAAGCTCTTTAAGCTTTCTTTTCTCCTCACGTGAAATAAGGAACTCCCCAGTTTTTAGGAGTATTGGCTGGTGTGTGTTGATGGATTGAGTTAGACGGCAGATGTTGTTACTGCCTTTATTTGCTCTGTCTCCTTCGCCTGAGCTGGACTGGGCTTGAAGTAGCTTCTGAAAAGGGAGAAAAGCAAACAATCTGGGCAATAATTGCTTTGGCTCTGTGACTCTGATTTGCCATCACTCCTGAGTCAGGAGGATAAGTTTATGCTCAGCTCGTGTGACCTTGAGGATGATGGCTCTCGTTTTTGAGACAGAAGTGTTTGGGTGAGTATCCTCTCTCGGCACTGGGCAAAGCTCCCCTCTCCTCTTTGGTGCAAACATCCATCCAGACACACGCAGTGGAGGTTTATTTGCTGCTTAGAAATGATAATGCGTGACACAAATATCCCTTGTTCATTGGAAAATGTGAAATGACATTTAAATTCCCTCCATGGGAACATGTTCTTTCAAAGCCTCTTGGAAGGACCCTGGGACTGTTTGGTTCCTGAATGTGTGTGGAGAGCTCTTTAAAGTCCGGAACCACTGTCGACTAATAAATGAATATAAATTATCTCTGAAATAGGTTCATTTAACTCATGTCTAATGTGTAGCATTTGGCCTGTCAGAGTCAAAATACTGTGACTTATTTTTTGTATGGCAAATTGAGTACTTTGTTTACTAAAATTGCTGATTTGTTGTATAATGAGAAGGGCCTAGATTACTGTTCCTTTTCACGGGAAGGATTTAAAGGGCAGGTCATTAGTGTTCTCCAGCTGCAAAATGTTTTTGATTATCTGTTCATCTTCTGCTACATATTTCATAGGTGGTAGTTAGCCAGGTTTTAGAATTAGTGACTTGCATTTTGCTTTCAGTCCTGCTGTCCTTAGTGATGCTTCATAGAGGGAAACGGAGCAGAATTTAGCCTGTTTAATTAAATGCACTATATCTAGAGACAGACAAATATCTCTATCGTTTATATAGTTTGCTAAGAAGATAAAGCAAACATCATTCGGAGCATAAAACCTGTTCTGGTTTGTAAAGCTGCACCTTGCATCATGTAACATTCAACATTTTCCCAACTTTGAGCTGGAAGTCTGAACTGAAACTGCAGCTCCGTTACTTTTATTCATGCCTGACAACACAAACGTTGAATGCCTTTTGCTGTGAGGTTGGGTTTTTGTGTAGAAGCTTCCACACAGTAAGACAGAATTACCATTTTGCCAAATATTTAGTAAATAATGATAGATGTATGAAATACTCAGTTTCAGTAGTTTCTTTTGATCTTGGTGGGGGGGTCACTGGCAAGCGATAGTGACTCCTACCCCTGATGGTAAGAGCTGTGTTTCCCAATGGCCTGAATTTTGTGTTCTGTGCCTGATAAATGTGGCCTGAGCCCAGCCCAGAGGAAGAGAGAGGTCACTTTGCACCTCGACTGGTGGGCTGTTGGAGCTGCCCTGGGCTTCTCTTCCTCCTCCCCTGGCTTTTCCCATCCCTTCCAGCAGAGCCGAGCGCTGCACGATGCTGCTAATTGCAGATAATGTACTACTGACATTTTGAAAAGTATACATGGATGATATTCACCCAAAGGATGATACCACGATCTTCAGAGATGCTGATACAATTTCGCTGGCATAGACTCATTTAGTGATGAATTGCAGTAATAGCAGTTCAAGACCTACAGCATATTAGTGAAAATGAATCCACTGAGCACTGGTCCCATGGCACTAACACGGCACTTAAAGAACACATTCTCTTGAAGGGAGAAAAATCTGGTTAAGAGATTTAGCTGTGGGTTTGGTGTTTTGTTTTGTTTTATTTTTTTTTAACCAGCAGCGTGTTATTTATATTTGTTTCTTGATGCATGTTATTGTAAAGAATTTAATATACATAAGAAAGCCAGGAGAGTGCTATAAACACAGAGCACTGTTCTGTGTTTCAGCAGATGTAAGACTCTTATGTGTTACAGTAAGCAGAGACAGAGCAGTAAAACTACTTTCAATTTCTTGTTATCAACTGACCTAACGCTGGTTATAAATGGTAAAAAGATCAACATGCTAAAATTGAGATGTAATAGTGTACACACTGCTGGCTCTCTGGCAAAAATGTTGTAGAAATGGAATGCAATAATAGGAAAGAATTATTCTAATAAAAGGATGGGGCAACCTATTATTGAAATAGTTGTCTAATTTGAGGAAAATAGGGATAAAGACAGGCTTTGCGTTAATAATGGCTGGTGCTTTGCACAAGAACAGGGTGTTCTTTCAGCTCTGGAGTGTGATCAGTGGAGAACAGAAACGTCCCAGGCATAATGCTGGGCTCCCTTGTGCCATCTCCTTTAAAATCAGCCAGGAGCTAGAAAATTAGAGGGCTCCGCAGTACCAGATCTCCTAAAACAGGAGAAAATATGCAAGTATGCATCTGCCTTCCTCCTTCCCCAGCTCTACGTCTGTCATGTTTGGGACATGCCTGGAGCATGGGGAAGAGTAGCTGAAAGCAGCTCCACGTAGAAACCCTTGGTTAAGTTTTAAGGCATACATCATGTTTGAAACAACCCCCCCTCTCTGAAATCTCACTTTGATTCGTAGATACTTTACTTCCAATTTTTATAATTAACCTCGAATTAGCACTGGTGTGACTGCCACTGGTTACACTTAATGCCAAAGAATCATTAAAACATTTCAATTGTCCCTTCGATGTACCAAAACATGTTTGAAAAGATTTAAAAATGTGTGATGTATCTTTAGGGGGTGATTTCACTGTTGCTGGGGAACCTATTGGGGGGAAATAAAGGAGTGCTAATAAATAGGCTCTTTTTGGTCAATGTAGTTTTGCAGACTCTAATACACAAGTCTGTGTTTATATGAGGCAGGAGAGATATTGTGAAAAACTGGGATTTATGGATAGTTCCACTATTCTAGGCCTAATGGAGGCTACAGCTTTGTCAGGTTGACAACTTCAGAAAGATTATCTGAAGATCTGAGCAATCATCGATAGTTTGGGCAAGAGCTCTTCTGTGCTGAGGGCAGGGATACACTTCTAAGGTTGGCTACATTAAATGGGTCTGCTTACGTGAGAGCAATAAAAAATATAAGTATTTGCTGCACCTGTTGCTCTATTATCTTTAGGAAAAGATAAAAATTTGCTATAGAAGTGGATTGAGTATGCTGGTATTTATAGCAGATGACTATGGGTAGATGTGTGTGTTCATATGCAGGGTTCTCCATGATCAGATGATGAGTTATGATGAAGAAATATTTTTCTATGTTTTGTGATTTGACAAGCAGCATACCACTTTCTTTCCAGTTTCTTTAAGTTAAAAAAGTCAGAGGAATACTTTTCTGAATAATAATTAAAATAAATATATAAATCAGTAAGCCTGTATTGCTTTCAGCTAGATCAAGAAGCTTCTCAGTCTGAAGATCCAGGATTTGACAAGGTATTCTAAAAATACTGTACCAGCTGTAAAATAAACTAACAATGCTAAGGCTGTGTTGACAGCATTGTCCAACAGCTAAGATGATTTTTTAATGAGAAGCATTTTGATTTTTTAGGATTAACAAGATGCTTCCTGCATTCCTAGAGAAAGAGTTGAATTACGAATCTTAAGACATACCTTTGACTCAAATCAAAACAAGTGCTGCTTCAGGTAGTAAGAGCTGCTGGCTGATAATTTGAAAATCCAGATTTCTTCTGACAAATTATGATTTAATTGCAGACTTATTTAAAAACACAAACAGTGCACAGACATTTTGAGGTGCATTCATTGAATAAAGATTAGCAAACTAAGGCAACTAAGTGTGATAAATGCTTGTCAATGTAACGTAAGAGAGGGTGTAGGTAAAGACCAAAGGTTGTACTGTGTTACACTAACTAGTATTTGTAATGCCTTGTAGGTTGATTAAAGTAACATACGTTAAGGATAAACAAAATTTTGTTTCCTTATGCTCGAGTTTGCCGTCTGCAGAGTAGTGTGAATGCTGTAAAGAAGACTTTGATATTCAGAGTTTTCCTTTAATTTCCTTCTGAAAGAAATATCATTAAAAATTCAGAAGGTGAAAGTAAACCAGACAAGATTCATATGCTATTAATGGAATTATATTAAGAGTTGTAATAATATCCCTTAATCTTAAAAAGGTAAGTCTCTTACAGAATTAAGTTTTTTCTGCTGCTTTTCATGCCGTGTGAGGTATTATGGTTAATACAAGCTGCTGATGTGAAAGCGTCCTCACTAATCCTGTTTGGAAAGCGGCTCGTTCTGTGCTCGTTAGAAAAGGTACAAGAAAAGATATTATAGGTCCTTCATTAAATAACTTCTTAATTGCATCCTAGGGACTTTTTACAAGGGCATGTAGTGATAAGATGAGAGGTGATGGCTTCAAACTGGAAGAGGGGAGATTGAGATGAGATCTGGGGAAGAACTTCTTTGCTGTGAGGGTGGTGAGAGCCTGGCCCAGGTTGCCCAGAGAAGCCGTGGCTGCCCCATCCCTGGAGGGGTTCAAGGCCAGGTTGGAGGGGGCTTGGAGCAACTTGGTGTGGTGGGAGGTGTCCCTGCCCAGGACAGGGCAGGGTGGTGGAACGAGATGGTCTTTAATGTCCCTTCCAACCTAAGCCATTCTATGATAAGCAGATCCCAAATCTGTGAATATTGCTGGCCCTGGGGCTCGTGTCTAAAGCAGCAACACTGAGTCTGTGTGAGCAAGGTCAGATGGAACATCTCGGCGTGCTGTGGTGGAACAGGGGCAAGACTTATTAGAACAGGCATGTAAAACAGCTTATATCCATTTAAAAGGCTTCTACTCACCCTTCTCTGTGAGCTTCTCCTTTCTCTAGCTCCTGTATAACACCCAACAAGACCTTTATGGTTTCCTGACTGGAGCTGATCAAACTTTCCATCATCTGAAGCTGCGCTTTCAAGTCCACAACTTCCGTGTGAGGCACGATTTGTTGGCATTCCCCGCTCACCGCCACGGCCGTCTGGCACGGCGGGTTCTCCTCCATGGGCGAGACCTTGATCTGAAGGGCCTGCTCGTTACATTCGGTGGCCCGGCACTGCGCCCGCGACAGGCAGGCCCGAGCATCTCCCGCCGGGGGCTGCACGCCGTTCAGGTGCACCGTCCTCTTTCTCTCCTCCTCCCCTGTCGGGCAGGGCGACCAGTCGGCCTCGGCCGCGAGGTTGGACAGGTCGGACTGCGAGGTGGTTGAGCTGGCCCCCGGTAAATAAACGGTGGCCACTTCAGTCTTGAAGACCCTCCCGTGGAGGGGCTGGGTGACCTCCTCGCTCCCCGGCCGTCCCGAGGCTTGTCTCCCTCGGCTGGGTGGCCGGCCGGTGGTAGGCTCCTCCGAAGCCGACTCGGCCGAGTTTGGGAGAGGAGGAGGTTCTTGGGGAGAACTGTGCAAATCGCCGCTCGTCCAGGCCCCGTCGTCCCCGGACCCCACGTTGCCGCGCTCGTGGATGTGGGAGATGAACTCCGCCGTCTGCAGGCTGCCCGCCTTCCTGCTCCACTGAACGGCCTCCCCTGAGCCCCTGCCCTCTTTGTCCTTCACCTCGATCAGAAACCCGTTGTTTTCACCCTTGAAGGTGTCGACAGTCGAGGCGCTTTTAAGTATATTCCCTTTTTTCCGGTCCAGAGGAAAAGTCTGGTAACACTTTTTCAGGTCGGGCGAAGTCTGGACTCCTGTGCTCTTGGTGACGTTGGGTATGGACCTCCGGGCGGGCACGGTCATGTACTTGCGATACGCTGTCTTGTAGGAGATGGCCTTGGTGTCCTTCTTGTCGGGGTCCTGCGTGGTGGAGAGCTGCTTGTCCCTCTGCTCGTTCTGGGCCTCGCAGATATCTTTAAATCTCACCTGGAGGGCTTTGTTGCGTTTCTTGATCTGCCGGTTGGGATCCAGGGCGTATTTCATCTCCAGAGCGAGCGAAGCCGCTGGCTCAACTTCGCTTTCCGAGGCGGTGAGTAAGCATTTGCTGGGCTCCTTACTCACCATGATGCCTGCGTACAAAATGAAAACAGTGCAAAAAGCCTCATGTTACAACAGAAATGCTACTTTCCGCCCCCAATTTTTCAATAATTGAGTTAACTTTCTCTGCTTTGAGCGAAACGGCTGCCCCTTGCCAACTTTTTGCTCAATTCTCTTAATTAAGTCATAGTCCTTCACGTTAGACTTTGGTGTTTGGTTAGAAAATCCTGCCTCTTCTCTCGACTTTGTTGACACCCACTCCCCAGAGAGGAACGGGGCTCAACCTGGGTCTTGTAGCACCCAGAGTTCTTTCTAACCCCTCTTGGAGACCAGGGGCCAAGACAGGCAACACAGGCACTCGGGGCACAGCATCTGAATTTTCTTTATAGTTAATAAAAAGTACAGGGAAAATGAAAAAACAAAGCATTTTTTTTACAAATAAAGGTAAGTCTTTAGCACGGGACAACCACTTAATGCTCCTTTAATGCCGCTGTTTAGTAGCAAGAAGTGTCAAACTCACATTATTTTTTAATACGCTTGCTCACGAAACACGTGTAATGTACTCTGCATCTTTGCAAGAAATTAATTGGTCATTAGAGGTGTCGTTGTTTGGATTTTTTAGAAAAAACGTACCTCATAGCTCAATCTATATAGATTTATAGATGGATTTCTATAGATGGATACAGACTAATGCATGAAATTTATGAACTATTGAAGTTCCCTGAAGAAGTCAGCAGTGCGTCAATTAAGGTTTTGCTTCAAATGCAAACCAACCCATCCTTTACTAGAAGCAGTAATATGCCTTTATAATGGAGCCTCTTATCCCAAAGGATCCTAAAGCACTGAAAAAACCCCCACAAAAACCTGTGATGATTCACAGAACTGACTTAATCTGCTATTGAAATACACGCACCTCCTCAAGGATGAAAAGATGCCAAGTGCTTACGGCAAAAAACCCCAACAGCTCTGTCTCCGTACGGATCATACGGGATCGGTCGTAACTGGATAGTTAAGACCTCATTTTTACACCTCATTTGAAGTTGTCGGTTTTATTCTCCTATTGCACAAATTTCTCCCTAATGCTGAGATTTACTGAATTACCAAATTCCCACTTAATCCAAGTATTCTGTGTGTACCTCCTATTTAAACACCGATGTACCCTCAGAGGCACTCAGAGCGCAATGTAAAATGAGTAAAGGGACTTTCAGGTGTGGTATTTGAAATACATTTTTAATTAAAACCCTTTTGTCTATTAAATAAAAAATGTGAAACTCTTGAAGAGCTTAGTGCCGCATTAGGGTATGTTTTATAAAGTCAGCTCACTGGCACGAGTGAGTGAATCCTTATGACTAGTCTATATTTAGTTTTAATTTAAGAAAACATAATGGAGAAATTATTTTCAATGGAAATCTGAATGTTTATGGGTTTTTAAAAGTAATAATAACATTTCCCCAAAGTTATTAAGACACACAAATGTGCATGGCAGCCAGTCTGTATGCTGCAGGGTTGGACTCCTGGGTTATCAAACTGCTTTCAAGAAATCTCATGCAAAAGTATCATTAGTTAATTTTTTTTTTTTTTTTTTTTTTTTGGTCCCAGTAAGTTGCAAACAAGTATTCTGGGGTCTGTCTCATTTGCCTTTTTCTATCCAAGTTGTTGGGTCCAGGTACCGACGAGTGAGCAGCAGTGATTTTAGAAGGGGAAGTTTCTAGCTGAATCTGTGTGATGTCTGCAGAAGAAAGCAAAAAGGGGAAAACCGAAGTGGAGTAGAGTGATAAAGTCATCTTTTGTAATTTGTAAGGATAAGATCCGTTATCCCTGTGCCTTTAATGCATCATCTACAAATTTTTTTTTGGGGGAAGAAAGAAATTAACTGCATATGAATGTCAGGAATTTTGTGTTCCAGTTGAAACCCTAAACAAGGAGTCAGTCGTGCTTTGTGGGGAATATGAGTATCCTGTGCTGGCTGGTTTGGGCTGTCTTTTAATTCTAGTAATGTTTACCCAGTGAAGTTTTGCCTCTATTTGAGAGGAATTCTGCATACAGCTTCCAGAGGCGGCGGTGGTAGGAAATGCAGACATACATCCAGCTCTGTCTGTTTGTCTGTCTATCTAGGGGTGGAATTTTGGAATGCTTTAGTGAATAATGAAGTGTTCTATAAAATACAAATCTGATCCAATGTCTGCCTGCCATTGGACAGACATTAGCTTTAGACACAGCTAAAATACGTTGTAAAAACTCCTGTCAAAACCAAAACCTGCACTTTTGTTAATGTAGAAGCAAATCTTCTGTAAGGGTCTGGTAAATTAATGAGTTTGCCAAAAAACTAAACACAGTAACACAAGAGCCATTATATCCATTAGTTTTCAAATCTGCTAATGTGAGTTCATGCAGTACTAAGAAATTGTAGCAAATATGAAATGTTGCATTTACAAAGATGTGAAATATTCAATAATTATATCTGAGAAGAGGGCACACGTTTTTACCCATCAAAGAGGCCTTCAAAAATCAGTTGTTAAATCTGAAAGTCACTTATGACAAACATCTCTTCGGGTACCTCAGACTTGTCAGAGTGAGTTTTCTGGCACTGGGTTATTTGACAGTCGAATCCACTAACATACAATTTTTTCTAAAGTATTGGTTTGGTATTTTATTACTGTACCTCAGACCCGTCCCAATTTCCAGATTAGCTGAGATACCACTTTAATCCCATCATCTCTGGGGCTGCTGCATCGCTGGGGCTGTTTGGGATGATTTAACAGATGGAATTAACAGAGCCCATAACCCAGATGAAACCAGGAGTCGGGTGATATTCCACGGAATAGAGATGGATAAATGGGGTACTATATTCTCTGATGCAGTTAATTTTAAGCGTGTCTTTAATAGCCAATAAATTGATTCTTCAAAAATTGCTTGTCTGCCTTTCCCAATTGCCCAGGCCTGATTGATTTAGCTAATTTAGAGTTTTGTATTCCCACTAGTAGCTTGGACTAATAATTTTATAGGTATCTGTGATTAAGAATGACAACAACCAAAAGAACTAGATTTTTTTTTTTTTTTTTAAAGCCTTGCTCGGCGTCTCCAAGGAGAACTAGATGAGCACATTTGATAAAAGAACGGTTGAGCAAACAGTTGATTGCGAGTTAAATATTTAACGCGGAAGAGTTTATATAATACTTCCTTGTTTTGCTTCGTTTTTGTTTTGGACAAGGTGCTGACTCCAATTTTGCCTCACTTAGGCACTGGCAATTACAGCAGCATCTCCTGGGAGGTCTTTCTTAATGGGTCAACCTGCAACTTGCTGGTCCCAACATCCCTACTGGTTTCCTGGGGAATGGGCAGAGCCTGGATCCGCACTGGGAGACTGGAAAGGGAAATCTCATAATGTGTTTCCTTTCCTTTCTGGTGGTTTCTGGACCAGGAGGCAGGGCTGGCGCATGGAAAATGGGTGGCTGTGAAATGCCATAGAAGGTGCAGGATTTTGGGATAGTTCAGGAAACTACTGAGTCGGTAGAGTTTGCAGAGTTTATGGCTAACTCCATCAGGGGGCTCATAAAGGCTCCAAATTTGAATTTTAGTTGCCTATGCCAATGAAATGCAGACAGCAGATTTAAAGTTTTTGTCTGTAGTTATTCTAAACAAACCCTGATTGTGTGAGATGATTTGCTAAGCTAAATATTTAAGTAATCACAGAGCTTATTTTTCACTTTTTAGACTTGATTTGTGTATAAACTTCTGGCTGATTACCCTTAAGCAGTGTTCCCTTATATTTGAATATGGAAATAAGCTATTAAATAATAATAATAATAATAAAGTGATGCACAGAGAAGCTTTAAGTTCATATAAAATCTTCAGGATAAGTTATGGAAACCGCCTTATTTATTAGTTCATGTTCTCTTCCTTTTATGATACAGAAGTATACTCAGTCTAAACGTGTTAATAAGCAGAGAGGAGTTAAACTGTCCAAGTTCCAAATGCAGATGAAAAGCATAGATTTCAGTCACTGTATTTTCAGACCAAATGAAGGCATTAGAGACGCAGCTGCAAACTTCTGTGCACGTATTAAGAGCACACAGGTATTTTGTGCATGTATGGAATAGCTTAAAGGACAAATAATATAAGGGACTGCAAATAATTGGGCTTTCCCATGTAAAGGAAGGCTCATTAGTGATTTTGCAAAACCTTTAGGTTTCTGAAATATGGAGGCTATACCTTCTCACGTGAAATCCCTCTGCCTCCTATGCCATTTTTATATGTCCATATATTATCATAAAATGTAATAATACTGTTTTTTCCAAAACTTTTCAATGTCTGTAAGTCATCTTGTAAGTGTATACATAGACTATAATATACTTTTAGCATTAAAAATAGACATTTGAAAGAAACTTGGATTTACTTCCCCCATACAAGATGGAAGCCTATTCCGTGCTAATTCCAGCCGTACCACCCTGTCAATCAGTGAGAGCAGCTGGAGGGTGTTTTACATGTAACCTGAATGGTTTTCTTAATTTTGAGTTAAACAGACTGCTTCTAATACAGTATTATTTCTTCAACTTTCAGACATTTTGACTTCTCTTTAAATTCATTTAGGACTATTTGCGGTCTATTAAAGGGAATCCAATTGTTAGATTAACTGACCGTGTTGTTATGATACAACCTTAAAAATCATATAGTAGTATCCTAAATATGAGTAAGCAATGTCCATTAAACAAAACTGTACTGATAAAAATGCTGGAAAATATGAATTAACTTAGCTAGTTATTAATTATTAGTTGTCTGCAGAAACTTTTCCTATGTTAGAAATGTTTCACAGAGTTTTAATACACAGGTCTGAGGATAAACTATGACTTCTGGATAAATGCAAGGGTGCAGGTGTGCTCAGTTTTTGTGGTGTAAAAAGTATTGATGACAACTATTAGGAACCACCCCCAATAGATCTATTGAGAAACAAAACTGATGTGGTGGCCCAGTCTGTCTTCCTCTTATCAGAATTGTTCATGTAGAATAATAGAGTTAGCAGTGCTGGTA